GAAGAGAGTTTATACTAAAGCTGAGGAACTCCAATGCAAGAAACTACATGGGAATGGGGATTGATCAGAAAATTAGGAGGGATACCAGGAAAACACAGTGTCACTGTGACCAAGGATCAAATGTGTTTTAAGAAGCAGAATGTGGCCAACTGATCAAATGCTTCTGAGAGGTCAAGAAAGATGAATACTGTCCAGCAGATACAATCACAGGCAGTCATTAATACTGTTAGCAAGAACTATTTGCTGAATGGTAGGGCAGAATCCAGATTAGAGTTTAATGAGACATGAATAAGGAGCAGGAAGTGGAGACAGAACATTTAGACAGCTCAGCTGGAAAGGGAAGAAGAGAATCAGCAGCAGGTGACTGTGGGTAGAGGAAGGATTTTTTTTTTAAAGATAAGACTATAAAATACTTAAATGATGATGATAAATCCAGTAATGGAAGAAGGGAAGACTTGAAAATACAACACAGGAAAAAAGATAATCAGTTATGTGAGATTCTTGAGAAGACAGGAGTGGAATTCAAAGCACAGATGGAAGGACTGTCTTTCAAGAGCAGAGACTTCTTTGTAATGAGAAGGATGGTAGAATGGAGGTGATGTAACTAGGCTTGTGCATATGGTGATAAGCTACTAAGGACATGTTTGGATCGGGACATCTGTGTTCTCTGAAGAGAAAGGGAGAGGGCAGAATAGATGGGGGACCAATGACTGCATCAAAAGTAATGTGAGGCAGCTTTAGCCCCACTATAGTCTCCACCAGCTCTCTTTTAGCCTCTCTACCCCACTCTTTATCATTGTCTTTGATGTGAGCAATTGAGTTTTCTCTATATTATATAAAATGTTGCTTTTTTAAAAACTCATATATGCAGTTTATATAACAGATACTCTGGCCTCTTTCCCTTCCAACCAGATTGTTGCTACACAGAAATTCTGGGTCAGATTTGAAAAGGGTGGGGAAAAAATTGAAGTGGTCATTGATGATAATGGGAGAGAAAGCATATGATTTTTCCCAGCAGAGATTAGGAGCAATCATCAACACCAAACAGACACCAGAGAGGCAATCTGATGCCAGGATGCTTAGGAGAAGGAAGTTAGGAGCTTTTTCTCTCAGATGGGCATTCCTTGGAATGGGCAAAAAAAATCGACCCTTGATATTCCCTCTTTCCCCAGCAAAGGAGTTCTAAGGGCAAGTGGATTCTTTGCTTTGTAATTAACCAGTATGACTTGAGGTTTTTGTCAAATACCTTTCCATATGAATCCTGACAAATGATCAATGCTGACTTAGTCACCATTTTGTAATCCTCAATGAAATAACTGATTCAGATAAGAATGATCAGTGGATACTAAACCCACTGGGTGAAAGGTTATAAGAGGATAGAACATTCAGAGTCTTAAATCAACACCATACAGATAACTTATTAACTATGAGTGAAAGAACATAACTTTATAATAGGAAGATCTAGCAGATACCACCTTCACTAGGTGATTAAATTTAACATCACAAAAGGGGATCTAGAGGGCTCTCCTAAAATGATACAGTGAATGGTAAGTGACATTTATCTGCATGATACCCTTGCCAGAAAAATTTAGCCCAAACTTAATCACAGTAATATAATCAAATAGATCCAGAATGTGGGACACTTTACAAGTCCTAGACTTTCAAAGAAATTAACATCCTGAAAAGTAAAAAAGATAGGTTTGTTCCAGATTATATAGACAGACAAAACAATCAAATGCAATAAAGTTTGATTGGATCTGAGAAAATAAACAATAATAAAAGACATTAGAATAATTGGAGAAATTTGAAAGTAAATTACATATTAGACGATATTACCAAATTAACGTTGATTTTCTTAGGTGTGATCATAGGATTGTAGTGATGTAGGAAAATGTTTGTATGCTTAATACATATATGCTGAAGTACTCCGGTAAAGCATCATCATGACATCTGAAACTTTCTTACAAATGGTTGAAAAGGAAAATGAGAAAAATAATTGGTAAGTCTAGGTGAAGGATTTTTTAAAACTCCTGGTAGTCTATTTCTTAATTACTTCACCAAACATTTTCTTTTTGTCATAACATTAGAGAGCTTTATGCTCATGAGTGTAAATTGCACTGCTTAATGTGGTAAATTAGATTGAAATTTTAAAAGCATCACAGCAAGAAAATTGTTCTGCAAAGCTTCTTAGACATAAAAGAACTTTTAACTTGTATAAGAGTATAAGTAAGGAAATGGTAAAGTAGGAGAGTAAGCCACAAAATAATAATAAAATATTTTTCTGGGTGTCAAAAACCTTTGAGTCCAGCATGTAATGACTGGAGATGTCAGTTTCCTTATCTGCCAAGTAGGCTGAGATCTCTATCAGCCTGCTATACATGCACAAAAGGCAAAGGATATGAAGAGCTTTTCTAAACTAAAGTGGGTGTGCAAATGAAGTTACTTTAGTTAGCATGATATGGCAATGTCCTGTAGGTAGTGGTTCTCAAACGTATCTAACTAGCAACTGAGAAGCTTGTTAAACATGTTGATTCCAGTCCTACCATATGAGATCCTGACTCAGTAAGCGTAGGATGAAGCCCACAGCTTGCTTTGTGCAAGCACCCCAAACTGTCTAGTGCAAGTTGTCTAAAACCCACCCATGGAAAGCTGTCTTGGAGTAGGTTCCTGTGATCTAATCCTTGCTGCTCAGTGTTTGGTCCCTGGATGGCCAACATCGCAACCACTGGTGAGCTTGTAGGAGCAAAATCTGGACATACCCCAGGTTCCCTGAGCCAAAACATGCATGTTACAAGATGCCCTGGTGTTTCCCATATTCATTAGTGTTTGAGAAAACACTAATTTAAATGGCAAGACTGATTGGCAGCCTCTCTTTTTGGCTTGGTCTCTGGTTTTCAGCTTGCTGTCAGACAGAATTGGGGTTGCCATCTTTGCTATTGCTGACACCTTTCACCTCATTTAGCTCTTCTCTCTGCTTCTCTTTGTTTCTGGCTCCTCAGTATCCTGGCAGCTCTTTGATAAACAGAACCTGTCAATCAGAGTGCTTTTCTCCTATGCCATGAACACTCCAATCAAAGCACACTAATGTGGGACCTAAATCTAGTTAAGGGCTAATTAGGTGTGTACTTTTTTCTTTTTTTATTGTTGTGAAACATATGTAACATTTACCATTTTAACCATTTTTAAATTTATAGTGGTATGAAGTACATTCACCTTGTTGAGCAATTATCACCACTATCCATCTCCAGAACTTTTGGTATATGATTGTAAACAAATCATTTAACCTCTCCAAGCTTCATTTCCTTATCTATAAAATATGAGTAATATTACCTACACTTGTAGAATATTTAAAGCATTAAATTAAATAATATATGAACATGCCTAAAACCCATAGAAGATTCCAACAAAGGCTTACATCTCTCTTTTTTTTCATTTAAAGTATGTTTTCAGAAAACCCTGATTTTGCACTAGATGTGGTCTACTGAAGCCAACTGATAAGAATTTTTTAAAATATAAAAAAATCTACACATTCTGGGCACATTGTTGCCATAAAACAGAGAAATCTGTTAAATAGAAGTATCCTATAATCTATAGAATTGGGATTTTTGAAGCAGTTAGTCTGCCACCAGTTACATTTTAATGGGAAAATTACATTTGGGGAAGAAACAATCTTTTTTGTTCCCATATATTGAAATTCTTCTATTGACTGTATTTAGATTGTGTTAAACTGCTTAAGTACAATCATTACCCTAATATCAATAATATTCACAAATGATGCTTTCAACCTTGGGGCTGATCCAGTTGGATGTAGTATTTGAATTCCATTTATGTACACATTATCTTTTAAGAAGAATGCTAAATTGAAAACTTGGTTATATGCAGTAAGTTGAGTTTAATTTCAGAATTAGACTAATTAGAACACAGGAGAGGAAGTTAGAGATCCTCTTCTCTAACAGTCTTACTTTACAAATGAGTAAATTAATATCCAGATAGATCTAGTAACTTGCTCACAATCACATGATGAATTACTGGCAAAGTTGGGACCAGAGCCCAGGTTCCAGGAGTGAGCGTCCACTGGACCTTGAAGAAGGGGTAACACTTCAGCAGCACAGATGATGAGAAGCGATTGTAGAAAGGCTGAGAGCATTCTAGGGAGAGAGATCAGCAGAAATGATTTCACAGCACCTGGTTATGAAACTGAGAGATTCAGGATTGTGTTCTAGGGGTGTCACAGAGTAGGGAGGCTACAAAGAGAAATAAGATGAGTTTTTTGTGATGGGAGAAGATATTCTTGGAGTTAGTAACACAAGATCAAAAGAGAGGTCTAATTTGTTTTTAATTTTACAGTATACAGGACTCTTCGGTATTATATTCTCATGTAACCATTATAGCAATCATAAGGAGGCTTTTGCGGGTAATCCAAGTCTAATACTCAGGAGGTCAATGTTGTTTGTAAAAATAGGACTTGAACTGAGACCCCAAATACTGTAGTCTGTGTACTGATTCTTAGAAGCATGAGATCTGGGTTCAGACCATTTGGGTTCAAACTTTTCCATCCACATGTAGAAGCCATGTAACTTTGAGAAAAAAAAGTGTCTAAAATCCAGTGTTAATATATTGTGTGCTATACACTGCTGTTCTAAATATATATGTTATGGGCCAGGGATTTAGCTCAGTGGTTTCGCCGCCTGCTGTGCAAGCACAAGGACCCGAGTTGGATCCCCTGTACAAATAAATAAATAAATAAATAAATAAATAAATATGTTATGGCTTGTGTTTAGACATCCCCTCAAAGCCTCATGCTTTTTTCTGAGGTAGCTAAATCTAGAGTGTGTGATGCTGGGGTTAAGGGAATGTGATTACTAAATCACCTGAGTAATTGCTTTGGCACTGCCCTAATCCTGTGGTCTGGATAGGATAAAAGGGGCAGAAAGGTGCTGTTATGGTCCCTTGTTGCTTTTGCTACTGTGTGAGCACCATGAACTGTTTCTCCTCTGCAGTGCCCCTCTGCTATGTGCCACTCTGCCTTGGAACCAGCTTGGACTGAAACCTCTACCAATTGTGAGCTAAATAAACCCTCTCCCCTTTAATTTTGGGTGTCGGGTATTTTGTTTCAGCAACGATAGAAAAGTAACTAATACAATATATGATCCTTGACTTATAATGGTTCAATGCTGTGACTATCTGATGGTGTAAAAGTGATAGGCATTCAGTATAAACCATACTTTGCGTTTTGAATTTTGATCTTTTCCTGGGCTAGAAATATGCAGGAAGACATTTTCTTGTGGTACTGGGCAGGACAGCAAGCCATAGTCCCAAGCCAGCCATGCAAAAACAAGGGGTAACAACTGTACCCTACAGTACACTGTGATTCTGAGCTGTAATGTTTCAAAGATTAGGTGTATTAAATGCATTTTCAACCTATGATTTTTTGGTTTACTATAGGATTAACATGATGTTGTGCCATTGTAAGTCGAGGAGCCTTTGTGTTATTCATTTAATCCAACAACCCAATATTCTATTATTATCACATTTTTTTTTGTTTTGGTACTGGGGATCGAACTTGGGTCCTTGCGCTTGCGCAGCAGGCAGTGAAACCACTGAGCTAAATCTCCAGCCCTATTATCACAAATTTTAACCTCTTCCCTCCAAAAACAATGAGAGGGAAAGTATCTCAATAGAAGATGATGCACATATTTATTCCCAAATTCTGTTTCTTGATTTATAATGTATCTCAACTCCCTGGTATTAAATTAGCTTCCTTCCTCCTTGAAATACTGTGGTACATTATTGTTAAAAAATATTCACCCTCTCCCCTCATCTTCTTAGGAAGTGTCGGCTTCCCTCCCCTTAACTTTGAGTTCAGCCATGAAACTTGCTTTAGCCAAGGAGATTTTAGGCAATAAAACAAACAAAAGTTGCAGTGTCCTACATTTGGGCTTGCTGTACTCATGTACTTCCTGTACTTCTTGTACCCTGAGAAGAGCTTCCCCTAGATAACTGTGGCCCCTGTAGCCTAAGACTCAGAGTGACCACAGGAGAGTAGATCTACCCCAGCTATGCCCCAAATGTTTCAGTGACTGAGTGGAGTGAGTACCCTTCAGTCCTGCAGAAAGTCTAATATCAGCCCATTCCAAGAAACTCTGGAGACTGGATATGAATTTAGATGCAGGGGCTAGTGTTACAGCTCAGTGGTAGAGTGCATGCTTAGCATGTACAAGCCCCAGGGTTCCATGCCTTACACCATATGCATCTTACCAGCAGAGGACCATGTCTGAGTTTCCTTCTTGGTTACACTGGTAGCTGAACTAGGATGCTGGGACAGAAAAGGAACTGGAAGCTTACTTTCTGCTGCTACTTACAGTATTTCAACTATAACAAGTATCCTTTGATTAAAAAGAACCAACTTCTTTTTTTTTTTTTGTACCGGGGATTGAACTCAGGTCCTTGAGCTTGCACAGCAGGCGGCAAAACCACTGAGCTAAATCCCTGGCCCAGAACCAACTTCTTAAGTAACAAGAGTTGAAATTTTTCCTCCAGCAAACCCACAGAAGAGAAAACTCAGACCAGAGCCTAATTAAGTCTTTTAGCAGTCACCAGGAGTTAAAAAAAGGAGCCCATGTTTATGGCTAGAGACCTCCTCATACTCTTAGCCCTATATGTGGTTAGTCTTTGTCACTCTGATCAAGCAGTGCTATAAGGAACTACATCCTTGGATCCTCATTTATGGGTAGCAGAATCACCATTCTATCCACTCTAATCAGTATCAAGAGTAGGGAACCTTCACACACATTCTGGGCAACTGGATAAGTTTTCCACCTAATAATGACAAACTGAACTGTTAGGTTAATCAGCTTGCAAAATTGACAATTGAATTGCATAATAGAGGTTCAATAGATGCTTTCTTTTAAATTTTTTGTTTAAATAATACTTCTACAAATTGAATATCATTCTAAATGCACGAAAAAACTATTTTTAAAATGCCATGTTAAAATTTTTCATAAGGAAAATAATCATACTCCTATATTTATTAGGGCATGTTTTACCTACCAGGTGCTCCTGAATCATAGTATACCAGGATACTTCCCCTACAGGGCAACTTCTCTAAAGAAAGGCATCCATATCCCAATGACAACAATAATATTAAAATGCTTTACATCATTCTTTATTTTAAAAGTGCTTAACCAACATATACTAATCTTTACAACATTAAAGGGAGGTAGATAAGTGTTATAGAGCTTTCACAAATGGAAAAACTGAGGCAGAGATTAGTAAATTGTGATGAAGGGCATAATATATGGCACAATTGGGAAAAGAATTTATTGCAGTCACAGATACTGATAATCTTTCCTATGTCTTCTGAGTTCCACTAACACAAAAGTAGCAGGCATAGCATGGAAGCAAGTCATCCACAGTGTGGTGAGTTAAGGCTGAAGCACTACCTTGTTGAGACCAGAGGCTGAAGACACTGTCCTTTGGCAAGCATTCCCCTCTCACATTCACACATGCTTCCACCTCCAACCAGGGTAGAGTGGAAGCTGCTGTGAGTGCAGGAAGGAGGGGATGGAGAAACTGGGCCAGGAAAGAAGACAGAAGAGAAAATATAAACTAATATCAAAGCAAGAGCAAGGAAGAACAAGAGGCTCAGCTGGGAAAGCAGCCCAGAAAAAAGGAAAGCCATAGCACAAATGAAGTGCCATTCATCTGGAAAGCTCTGACATCCAGAAATGCTATTAAAAGGGCAATTCTTAGCAATGACATTACAGAGCCACTCCTTGTGGCTTTGCCAAATATAATTATCAGGTCCTTCTGACATTCCCAGGAGGCAGAATCATTCCTTTCCTCTGGTCCACACCAAGTGCTGATGTAATTGACCTGACACTGCAGACTGTTGACAACTCAAATATACTCTGCCACCATGTCACCTCTCTTCCTCTGCCCTTCTAGGCTCTTCTGAAACAAAACAAAACAAAACAAAATGCATTTTAAAATTCTCCCTGCAAAAATCCTGTAACATTTCCTAAATCTTGGATGCATAATAGGGCTGGATTTCATGTTTGACTTTTATAAAGGGGCTGTGATAAGTATACTTGGGGATTACTGGCCCCTCCCAACCAATGTTCCTTCACACCACATGGAACATTTAAAATAAAAAAATAACAACTCTAAAATCTATGGATGCTGGCTATCTAGAGAAAAAATTGGAGCCCATATGAAAGAAAGAAGCTTTACTATCATTCTCGTGCAATGCGAATACCAGAGATGGCCAATGACATGGCATGCCAGTTGCAAATGAGGTACTGATGGCAGAGACAACACAAAATGAGCCATAACCAACCACCCAGCAGGGAGGGGCTGGTGTCAGATGAACAGGTAGAAGTGGCAGCACAGGCAGCTGAGCAGGCAGACATTAGGGCAGGGCAACAATGAGCTAAAGAGGTGGGAGTGCTGCTGTCTTTTGAGGCTGAAAGAGAGGCAGGAGCACTAGTTAATATCTAGGCCTCTCCTGAGACAGGTAAGAACCAGAAATGTATCCTTCCTTCATTTTATTCAGCAGCACCATTCTCTCAGGCACCTAGCTTTAACTTACCCCTCCTTTCCAACAAACGGAACCAACATCGACCCATACTGATTTCACTTCAACAATCCTCTTAACATTGTTAGGTCTCTCATTTTAACTAAAGCATCCTCTGGGTTCCTATCTTTACATGATAATCAGGGCCAAACCCTCCTACCTGGTATCCCCAACTCCAGTCTTCACTCAGTTCCATCTTCTAATCTTCTTCCTGGAGCAGTTCTGATCATGGCACTGCCCAATTTGGAAATTCCCCATGCCTCCGCTGCCTCCCATTTATGTGTCTTATCTTGAGTCTTTAACAGAACCTTGCATCTAGTAAAATTCCTTTGCTTTCCAAATTCCCACCTGCCAAAATGCCAATTCTAAGGATGGTGCAAATGCCACCTCCTCCATGAGGCCTTCAAGCTTCTTGGTTCTCTGCTGTCAATTACAAGTGCACTTGCAGTCATACACTGGTCAACTACATGACAGCTGTATACAAGCCTTACCTCCCCTCCTGGGCTGTGTTCATGATTTGACAAGGTGGAGGATGGTGATTTGTGTCTTAATATTTATCTGTTCCCTACAACACCTCCCAAGAATGGCTTTTGCATTTTCACCTCAGGTAAGGAAAGGCTCAAAAGTGACATGAATTGGGATGTATTATACTTGTTCAAGACTAGACACTACAAGTATCCTGTAGTGTGATTTGACTCTCGGGATGAAACAAATCCATGACATAGCTTCAAGGGAACGGGTGAGGGAAGGCAGGTGGGGTTGTATGTTCTAGAGTCAAGAGACCTGGGATTGAAGTTCTGCTTTGCCTTTCATCAGCTATGGGCCTGGTTCCAGAGGGTTCTTCTCTGAGCATCATTTCCTTACTTCTGTAGGACTTCATAGGATTAACAATCAAACTAGATACATCTGTGAACTCTACACAAGTGATTTTCAATCCCAATTATGCATCATAATCACCTATAAAGCTTCCAGAAACTAGAGTACCAGGTCCCAACTCAGGTCAACTGAATCAGAATCCTCTGGAAGTGATACCCAGTGGGACTAATTATTTATAAAATATTGTTTCTAATGCATAGCCAATGCTGCAGACTACTGTTATAAACTCATAAATACCATTAACAGTAGAGCAAGGTGCTTTAGGCTGCTGGCTTAATTATCCTTTATTTGTTTGGCTAGGAATTAGTTCAATGCTTTTATAGTTCAATTAAAATAAACTACTGTTTGTGAGCATTTTGTGTGTTGTTCTACATTGTTGTTTGTATGCTTAACTCATAAGTTCTGAGAGAGAATAATAACCAGCACATGGTTGTGCACAAAGATGTACTTAATCTCATTTTCTTGAGAATAATAAAAACTTCATAGGGTCCTGGAAACCCTGGCTGTGCAGTAGTGTGTTGACCAGACAAGCACAACCTGTTGCTTGCGGGCTTGTAAGAAATATAGAATCCACATGTGTAAATACTGAATAGTTTCTCTAGTGTGAAAA